TTATATATGCTTATGGAATTACCAGCGAATCGCATTTTCCATGGGTGAACTAAATCAGGAATTTTGAAGAACTGAAAAGTGGTTTGCAAACTTTAGCCCAAAATAGCTGACATATAAAAATAACTGAGATGCAGAATTTAACAATGTTACGCTTGCAATGCACTTCTGTGCACTTGTTCAACAAAATGAGAAAATCAATATACAGTACTTGATCTTGATTCCACTGCGACCTGCAGTAGGGTCATAATTTGGCAGAAGCCACACAAATCCATGAGTTAGTCATGCTGCTTTGTGATGGTGATATCATAATACCAAGGAGAATGTTGTTTTTGGAGCACATTTAGATCATAAAATATTAACCAAGCTTCATCTGACTGTCGACACACACCTTTGCATTCTTGCTGGCATGGTGCATTACTTTCTGACCACAGTCAACCCCGTTTTTAAATTAATTATCCAGTGGACTAATGCATCATGTTAAAAAGTGTTCATCATCTCAAGCTAGCTCCACAAACGTAAACATTAACTTTAAATGTCTGCACAATCTCCACTCCTTAATGCAATAGAACGTATTTGTGATGAAGTAGCTTGAGTGTGATAGTATAAAGTCAGCATAGACCACAATACCCAAGGAATCTGTGTAGCACCTTGCAGAATCTATACTAAAACGCATTCAGGTTACACTTTAGGCAAAAGGGGTTTTACATAGTGAAGTATTGGTGTATCTAACAGAGAGGATCTGTGTGTTTTAAGAGCCCTTCTTCTGTGTTATGGATTTTTTTTGGCTTGAATTTTAGCTCTGTTTTAACTTTTATGATTTGTTTTGTCCCTTGTGCTTTTATTTATTTATTCATTTTGTACAGCTTATTTAATACAAACATTGCAGTACATCTTGCAAAATGTATGCTGTCCAATACTCCAACATTAAAAGCATCACCAAAATGATTTATCCATTAATTAATGTGTCGTGATGATTGATCTATTATGAGGGGAAATAAAGGTTTTATTAATTAGTGATGACCTCTGCCCCTGTTTCGAGACGATTTTGGAGCATTGCACAACTAAGTATAAACAGAAATGGATTGTGGTTTTGTATCTGACGTAAAGAGTAGACATTTGATAGCAACCTGTAGAGCTCTTATCAGTGTACCTGGTGGCCAGGCCTCTTCAAACCCAGTAATTAGTAATAATAAAAAGGAGCATTTATTCTCCAATAAAGCAGTTTGTGAACCTCTTTGGACATCTGTATATTTTTACACCTACAAAATTATCAAAGTTCATCATCAGCTGTGTGTGAATGGTCCTCTTACTTCTCAGAACTACACGTACAGAAATAGGCACTAAAGTGTGTATGTATAAAGTTTTTATTTTCATGTATTTTGCATAATGAAATTTAGTTTATAAAGTCTCACATATACCCTACTAATGATTACCAGCCTTTAGAGCAGAGGTAGGCAACTTTTGGCACTCCAAATGCTGTAGACTATATTCCCATAGTGCTCTTAGATTCGTAATTCTGGCAACAAGTTTGGGGCGATGTAGTTCACATCATATGGAGTGCCGGAGGTTGCACACTCCTGCTGTAGAATAACAAATGTATCTGCTATAAACTGGTCAATGATAAAATGCCTGCAAGTCTACAGTAAAATGTCAGCTCGCCCTCTGTTTCCAAACAGTAAAGGATGTTTTAATGGGTCATCGAATTCCTGCTGTCTTGGAGGGGGAGGACTGAATGACATATCGTACAGGCTATTTAATCTAGATTTTTTTTATCTCGTTCTCTGTTAATTGCATGCTAGAGCCTACAGCCACCTGCTATGTCAGATTAGATTTAAATTATTAGAGCAGGAGTTATGAATATATTAAGTAAACACACAGTGCTTTAAGATCTGACTGAAAATTAAAAAAAAAATAATTCATGTTGGCTGTTTCACAGCCAGGGGAGGTGTGTTTAGAACTGCATAAACAGAAACAAAAGTGCATTGAATAGTAAGACTGCATGGAGTATGATCAATCCATCAAAATTGTTTCATTAAGCTAAATATGTTTTGGTGCTTAGAGTAGCCCTTTATTGGTTACATTGGTGAGAGTATCAGACCAATTGATATTTTCAAAACAGTCGGTAAATTAAACCATAGACACAATTCAAAGAAATTAGTTATAATCATACAAGTAATCAGAAAACATTTTTTTTTAATTATATGTATCATGTCCAACACCACACAATAGACTTGGCGAATGATCTACGTCTGCTGGAATGTAAATAGTTCCAGGGATAGTGAATTGGTGAAATACTTGATCAAAAAGACGAGATCCTAGCATTGTAGCAGAGACCAGGAAGCATGTGTCAAATATTTGGCAAGCAAATCCAGTCAGGTTACATCACAGGTGGTCTGTCAGGAAGGTGAATACTGTAGATGTATAAGGTGTAAACAAGAAAACTTTTATGAGTTATGTGGATCTAGGCCCACTAGTGGATAATGTGCAAGGAACCAAAATATCAAGCAAGCTTCAGTGGTGCAGAATGCTAAGCAGCCTGTTCATGAAATTGCAAACCAGGGTTAAAATCATTGTAATATATCCTTACCTATCTCAGTTTAAGA